AGGGGCATGGTTTCTTGGGCTATGGGAAAGAACAAGGTCTTGATATCGTCGTCTCCTCCGGCTAGTTCAATCGATTGTGAATAAATCCTGAGCCACTGCCTTGGTTCGGTCTTGCCATCATATTTAGAGTGGTTGGATGGCTTGAACTTGTGAGGTAGTCGTATTGAAGCAAGTCTGTTTGCAAAACAGGGGAATCTATCGTGCGTTCCGGCTTCTTTGTATTCTGATTCAGCACCTCCTTCCAAACTTGTTGTTGTTTTGGTGAGAGTAGTTATGCGAGGCTGTCTGAATGGGTTCTTTGCTTCTGACATTTCTTGGTTGTTCGACTCGGTAGTTTTGACTATGGTCCCTTCTGCTTTCTCTATTGTGACTTCCACTTGGTCCAAGTCTCTCGAAAGCGGACTTCCTTTGGTTTTGATCTTCCTTCCTATGAGATGTTGACATGGCAGGTAGTCTTGAGCGGTCCTTCCATCGTGCGTCCTTAGGGTCACCGACCGGAGAAAGTCCCGAGCTGTTCACATTTTTTCCTTTGGGATGCGATGTCGCTCCGAAGTTCTTCTAGTGCTTCTCGGATCCTATTGTAGGGTGTATTCACGCGCCTTTCTTCGACTTCTTGTTCTCGATTTTCTTCTATTGTACTCGGCCAGATCGACTCATATCTAATCCAAGCTTCCTTTGCGCCGCCCTAGCACAGTTATTTGGCGTCCTTGTTTCAATTTGTTTCTTCTTTCTCTGGCTTGCTTCTGATTCTCGGTCTCACCATCGTGTCTCTAGGCAAAGGGTGATATGTTGGACCTGATTCATCCAATGACCTGATGTCGGGTGCTTCTAGGGGGACCAATGGTGATCGAGGACGGCGAACCATGAATACTTCTCGTGCGTGAATTGTTCTGTTATCGGCGTCGGTTTCCACACTGTCGTAGTTGTTGATAACTTTAGTGGAGGCTTCAAGGTCATAGATCGAGTCTCCTTCTTGGTAGGGTAGAATTGTTGTTGTCGTCGTGCCGACTAGTCGGGTATCGCTATCCTCAGGAACAGAATCTGGCCAGTGGACGATGCAGTTTTGAGATGTTATAGTTAGTACGAGACCTTCCTGAGCTCCCTTCAGTGGCATTCTAAACACCGGATCGAGGGATCCTTCGGGTCGTGCCTGATAAGATTTTGCCATGTTGTGGAGTCCGAACGGAAAAGGACCCGACTTCTTGAAAGGACTCTGAGTGTACTCCGAGTTGTATACTTGATAAGCCAAGGCCGCGCTCTGGAGCCCTGCCGGAAAAGAACTCAGACTACTCTCAAGAGAACTCTGAATGTTTTCCGAGTTGAATCCTTGATAGGCCGAGGCCACGTTCTGGAACCCTGTCGGAAAAGAACTTGGTTTCTCGAAAGAACTCGAGTAAGACTCCATCTCGGATGCAGAGCCTGAGTTTGAGTCGGATGCACAAAGCCACGAAATCTGAGTTGGATCGGACATCACAAGTTGCGCGAATCTTCCGGCGAGTTGATCTATCGTAGTCGCCGAAATAGAAAGGTCTTCATTGTGATCCAAATCTTCGAGGAGACGGCCTTGGAGCTTGCCATCGCCGCCTGTCTCGCAGATCCATGAACCGAAGATGAAGGTTGATCCCGTCGAGAAGATCATGTTGTCAAAGTCCATCAAGCTCTCGGATGCAAATTCGCCGAAATTCTCCTACCTGGCGCGCCAGCTGTCGATGTTTTACCACCGATAGCCTGCCACGGGGGTACCCGGGGCAGTTTGTTCGGGATTCAGCGTATGCAGAACTCGACGGTTAACGCAAGAGACAGTCGATTTATCCTGGTTCGAGCCCTCGACCGTGATCGAGTAATAGCCCTACGTCCAGTTGGCGTTAGCCTTTGCGTTGGATTGATTGTCAGTGTTGTCTCTAGGAACCCTATCCTCCTTTATATAGTCAGGAGGCCAGAGTCCTAGTCGGTTTACAATGAGAGTTCCTAGTAGGATTACAGAATAATAATACTACTAAGATTACACGGAAAGAATCCTAGTCAGACTAGATCTTCTCCCTTCCTTGTGGGGTATCCTGTGGGTCCCGCACCAACAATACCATTCCTCGGTTTGGTTTGAGTAGGAAACCGAAGATAAAGCCGAACACCGAACAACTAGAACATAAGAACCGAAACCAAACCGAAGAACCGGTTCTCTTACCGGTTCGGTTCGATTTGTGGTTTTTGGCCGTAATGTGCCTAGCCTGACTGTCTCAATAGTTGGTGGGGAGGACCTGCTCAGATTTGTGGGAGAGGAGAACGAAGATCCTATTGATCCACCACGAACTTGATCAGTAGCCAATTTTGTAGATCAATGGTGAAGGAACAATGGTGAACTCGAGGAAGATGGTCATGGGGAACGAACGGAAGAAAATACGTGGATGAGAAGGAGAGAAAAAAATAATTACCTATAGCACCAAATGGGACAAGCCCACCGTTTTGGTGTGTGACACGATAGGCCCATTGATAACAGCAAGTGGGCTGAGAAGTGGCTCGGGCCAAGTTGTCTAATCTGGTTTGGATTACGAATTAGTGCTCACACAAGGTTTGGTTCAGTTAGGTTCTTGTGATCACATTGCCAACCAAGTTAGGGCCTATTTGGAACGCGAAAATAAAAACGGATGAATGGAGGAAACCGCAGGAATTGAATAGAGTCAAAAGTGAAAAACTACAGGATTCGAAAACATAGGAATGAAAAACTTAGGCTTGTTTGGAACATAGGAACAAAAATGCAGGAATGAGAATGGTAGGACGAAGATAAAACCATTAGTAACTAGATTAGTACTAATTGCACTAAAACTGAATCAATAGTCTCATGGCACCTTTTAATGACTCATTGAATGTCTAAATTAACTTATCCATGCCTGGACATGACTCTTTCCAAAGTAGGTAACCTTGGCCGCAGGCATCAATTAGCTAGTTGGCCTATTATTAACGCACTAAGCAAGCCGTAGGAATTTTTCCCTTTAGCGCAGACCTCATGTTTTCTTTCCTGCATTTCATACAGGAAAGCTCACCATTCCTTAGGAAAGGAAATCGTCAATTGTCAAATCCAAATAGCAAGACTTGAAAATACTACACAGGAACATATTCCTTTGGAATTCCTTTGATCCAAACAACCCCTCAGGCTTAGTTGGTTAGGTTCCTTGTGGTTGGACCTGTCTATCTGGATTTAAGTCGTCTGTGTCTGTGTTTGTACTGTGTAACTCGAAAAAAAAAGTGATCACATTTTATAAAACTAGTAACGATTAAAGGCGTAGTAGAGCCCTAGGGCCAGGGCACCAGGTTGCAGTTTTGCACACTCATCTGGATTGGACCATAAACATGGGCACTGTTTGGATGCCGAAATTTTTGACGAAATGCTACTGTAGCATTTTCGTTGTTATTTGGCAAATAGTGTTCAATCATAGTCTAATTAGGCTTAAAAGATTCGTCTCGTAGATTTCGTCTAAACTGTGTAATTAGTTTTATTTTTTATTTATATTTAATGCTTCAGACATACGTCCAAAGATTCGATGTGACAGGAAATCTTAAAAAAATTTGACATTTTAGAGTGGAACTAAACAGGCCCGGCCATATATGAAAATCTAAGTCGCATGCTCACTCACCGTACCTCGTGAGCGTCGTCTCACTTTGAGTTCAGAGGCACGCACGATACCCCGAAATGAAATACTGAATGTTACCAGATAAATAAATCTGAAAGTCCCGTGCGCATTATTTCTGTATGGAAGGACCAAAGGACGATCAGTTCATGTGCCACGGTGAAGTGTCCGTGGAGCTGAGGAGCCTGCTGCATCTACCCGCACACGAACCGGCCGGAGTAGCTCTCCATCGCTGGTACCCGAACGCATCACACAAGCACAGGGAGGAAGACGGGGAGAGTTAGGAGATCTCTATGGGAGCTAAGAATGCTTCCTAATCATTGGTCGTTCTTTATAACAAGTACTCCCTCCGGTTCTCTAAAGCAAGTCGTTTTGGACATCGACACGGTCTTTAAAAAACAACTTTGACTGTAACTTTTTGCTATAAAATATTTATAAAATATAGTTAATATATAATTTTATGAAACTACATTTCGAGATGAATCTACTTACATCACTTTCATATTTTCAAACTCAACCCAAAAGAAGTTATTTGTAGTCAAAGTTTAAAATATTTGACTTAAGACAATCTCAAAACGACTTGCTTTTGAGAACCGGAGTGAGTACTAGCTTTCGATCAACCCATTTGTGGAGTCAACAGTAGCATCATGTAAGACCATCGCATGCCACCTCCCCGGCTTTTGCTGCCCATTTGACATATGGAGAATGCTAGTATTTCAGTATTTGACGAGTTTTTTGTCCTAGCAAAATTTGTGGGAGGTTTCTTCAAAGGCCCTAGCAATGGAAACAATGTGCGCCCATTGTTATCGCGCCAATTTGTGGGAGGTTTCTTCCAAAGGCCTAAGAACCGAAAGGGGAGGAATGTGACCTTTTGACCCATGTCTCGCTCGAGGGGAATGCGGCCTTTTGAGTTTTGACCCATGTCTCTCTTACAAATTTTTCGTCATTTCAACGCCAGCGGTCTAGCGGTCCTGTTTCAGAATCTCAGACCTGGCAGATGAACACTACGATACCGCGCCATTGCAGAACGACCACAAAGCGAGAGGCATTTGGATGGTCGCCAAACATTGAAACGCTTGAAGATTCTGAACAAGCGGGGTAATATAAATTTAGAGAAACAAAATGTGGCCTGTCACAATTTCAACACAAAAGACCTAATTGCGGATAGCCTTAACGATAAGGCACCAGGATCAAATTCGTAGCAGGAAACCGTGACCAAATATATTAGATTTATGTACATGCATTGAAACATAACGCTGTTCACAATGCAACATTTGCAGGCTTCAAGCAGCTGCAAGACTAAGTCACAGATAAGTGCCAGTTTTCTCCATCGACAGTACGATAGGACAAGAGTTAAAACGAGGAAACAGTTTTCATCTAGCAGTCGTCTGAACTACAACGCAAAACACAGCGGTCACCAGCCACTACCACCGCCAGACCCCCAGCCGCTTCCACCATCCTGTGCTGGGACGGCCTTTTGGCGCTACCCCATCCTGAGTCATTAGAGCCACCAGCAGCTGCTCCCCAGGCTCCATTTCCGCCACCAGCACTGTCAGCACCACTAGCAGCTGATCCCCAGCCGCCTCCACCGCCACGGTTGCTGTCATCGCCAGCTCCACCCCAGCCAGCAGCATCAGATCCCCCACCAGTACCACCACCACCCCGGGAAGAGCCACCACTGCCACCTGTGCCCCATCCGCCTCCCACGCTGCCAATGTTATCGGTCCACCCTCCACTGTTGCCACCACCACCTCCTCCACTCCAACCTCCACCACCATTATCATCATTGCCAAAGTTACCCCGGCCACGCCCCCGTCCTCGTCCACGACCACCAGAGTTATTCCTTGAATCAAACCTCCCTCCTGTTTTAGGAAAACAAGGCACATAAATTATACTCACATATTTCTAAGGGTCTATTAATGTATCAACAATGTACACAAGTCAGATCACAAGCGTTTCTCAAAAACCAGTGGTAAAATAATGGTTATACCAGAGTACCAGACACAGCTTGACTAGATATTGGCAAAAATCCACTGTGACATGCTGACAATCTAGGAAGCAAAATTATTAACAGAAAACAGAAAGAAATATATTTCGTTCAGACAAAGACAACAAAGAATGGCTAGTTTCTGAAGAACCAGATGGATGTAAACTATTTCAGAAATAGCTTTTAACTCGTACAGTGAAAAAAAGTTGCATGGGAATTCACCACAAGAATGCAAATACTCTCTTCAGCGAACACTAGCAGATCATGAGAACTATAACAATCCAGTACTTGGTGAAAATATTATAATCTTAATCCATGCAAAGCATTTAAAGATTACCATAGCTAAAAATGCATATAACTTTATCAACATCTTAAGCGCATTAATAACTGACCTGATCTGCCAGAGAAAGGTCTGTCCCTATCATTACTACCATCTCCCCTCCAACCACTGTTTGCATCCCCACCACCACCACCACCAGAACCCCAAGCTGAGTTTTTCATAGGTACCATTGCAGCAACATTTCGCATTGATGGTCCAGCATCAGGTGGTGGTTTGTCAATATTCTTCTGGAAATAGGACACAAGGCGGTCAATGTTGTCAAAGTCTCTCTTCCTGAATCTGAAGCCCTTTGGGTATAATCCAATATACTCGTGATGTGGATTTGTACTCCTAATATATGACAATATAAAGGTGCCAGGATGTTCATGAGAGATGCCAAAACTATACACTATTCTCATAGGGTTCTCTGCTTTCTCTGCCCTTAACATCTCATCAACCTCATTTTTTAAACCCTTTCTGAATTTACGATAAGAGAGCATGCTCTTAAGGTATCCTACCAATGGGTCCACATATCTGTCAATGACCTATATGATAAATGAAAATTAGAGGAAGGTTCAGATAGCACAAAATGAAAGATTACCAATTTAACTAGAGCAAAATCTTGTCACATAAGATGGAATCAGATAACTAAAACTGACAGAACATAACTGAGAAGAGAGCAGGTGTATATATCAGGTGCACCAACCTCATCGAGGTCTTCAAAAGTTTCATTGTCAATTGTTAGTGTTTTCCCTAGGCGAAGCAAACTTGTAATATCTTTGTGATCCTTTCCACTTTCGGTTATCTCCTTGTGTGCATAAACACCATCAAAAATTTTCAGGGTAAGTGTCAAAAAAGATGGTCCCCTGGAACTTGGCCGGATCACCTTCTCACCATGCTCTTTATCTGACAAAAACTGTTCAAGAGAATTCTTTAGATAAAGACTGGCATACCTACCATAAGAGGAGATGCAAAGTGCACAGATTGAGTTTAACAAGGCAGCAAACCTGCATGGCTTCTTCGGCTGTCAGGTTCTGAAAGTGGGGATGAACAATCATTCGGGGCTTGAAATGCTTCTTTGCAAGTTCCTTTTGTTTCCGAGCCTTATCTTCTACAGTTTGTGAGGTCATGTCTTGTTCGTGATAATAAGGATCCTGATCACCCCTGGAGAATGGCCTTCTCCTCATCTCACTAGCCTTGCACGTTAGGTAAACCATGAACCTATTTTTATTCACGTTTCGAATTTTGCCAGTTAATACATCACCTTCACGTAACTGTGATGATTCTGGATCAAAACCCTCATCAGAATAGTTGTCTGCCATAACTATGGCTTTCAAACCAGAATCAAAGGTGCAAATTATTTTGTTCTCTTGTATATTGCGAACAGTTACTTGAACAATCCTTCCATCAGATATGGTATCCTCAGTTTCACCAGAAAGCATCCAGAATTCCTGTTCCGGGCTTGGCTCAGTATAGGGGGTCCTCCAGTCAGAAAAACCGGACAGCAGCTCTTCCTTTATATCCAACAGAGTTTCCAATTTACGGTATTCTTCTGAAATGCTCTTTATATATTCCTCTATTTCAAGACCTTTCAGCATTTTTGGGTCTGCTCTAACATGCTCAATCGCCATCTCTTGCTCGTCATCATCCATTTCATTTATTTCATGCCCATCCTCAACATAGACATCCTTAGCCAAATTTTTTGCTAATACATATGATTCAGGATGGATCCTTGTATCCTCGAGCAGATCAATGAGTTGAGCACTGGCTGCAGCTGCACCACTCCGCCGAACACGTAAAAACCCAGAAGCATTCATGAAGACTTTCCTTCCTAGAGGTTTGACAAGCTCCTTGCGACTAAAAATGGATCCCTCTCTTACCAGATCTTTCTGCAAAGCAGAAGCTTTGCGCGGACCCAAACCAGCAATAAATTGTAGAGTAGAAAAATGCCACTCATGGCTAGCAGCAAGATTAACGTCAAAACCTATCTGATTCGTTGCATCAACCATTACTTGCTCAACAACTTCATACTTCTCATCAGGAGTCAGAAACTGTTCCAGTGCGTGCAGTTTCCAAGAAAGTATCTCTTTCCCAGGTCCACACAGTGTTGCGATCATCGCCAATGGATTCTGAAGGTAACGTCCAAGCGCTACAGCTCGTTTCACAATACCTGTACAGTCAATGAGACATGAAGAGAAAACATCTGTTTGTAAGGTACCGAGCAGAAGAGATAACAGTAAATCACCATATTGCTACGGTACCTGACTGCCCAGGAAGTTGATCCGAAGATATTCGAGAGTTCTCATACAAGCGAGGCACAGACTCGTCACCATAGACAACGCTCAAATTTTCCATTTGGGGGTTAACGTCTCTTGGATGGTCCTCTACAATTTTAAAAATAACCTATCACAAGGATAAATGACAGCTTAAAATTAAGCGATGACCGATGAGAGCACAAAGCTTAAAATAAACTTCCACAGAGTACCATTGCTGTACAGCCATTTAGAAAGCATAAATGAAAGTTTCAACTACTATATACACAGTTACAAACACTGGAAACATGTTCACATTTATAGCAACTGCATCCCTCACAGCAAATGCAAAGCCACATAGCCAAGATACAATCGTGTACATCATGTCATCTGGCAACATTTGTTACATTGTTAACCAAAAAAACTTGGGATGTACAAAATAAACAGTAATCATGTCATCAAATATGCATAACTTTCTACTGATACAATAAGTTAAATAAACAAATATAGGTTGGACTCCCACCATAAAGAAACAAACAAATAACAAAAGTGAAAGATATCAACGAAAGCCAACCTAAAATAAACTTCCAAACTCCAAAGAAGTATGTTCATAGTGACAGGCTAGCAGAAAGCAGAAGCATGGGCACTTAAGTCAACTCAACTCAAGAAACCCAGCAGTCGAGCCCAACATTAATAAATACAGTTTGCCTCCCACCATCACAAAACCAAAACGAACAAATAAAAAGTAAAGTCAGGCATCGCCTAGGCGATGAGGCACGCTGGGATTCTGGCCATCCCAGCCACTACAACCAAAAAATCAGCAAAACAGAGGGAGGGAGGAAGGGAGGGAGAAGATGAGAGGAACAGGAGGGGAGCTCGCCAGCAAGGCCAAGAACTTGCAGCCCTGCCATCCCCGCTGTCTCCCGCGTGGGTGATTAGCACAGAGCTTCCTCCAGTCAGTCGTGGCATGGTCGATCTGGAAGGAGGTGGCAGCAGTGGATCCGAGGGCACAGAGCGGTGAGGAAAGGGAAGGGAAGAGGCAGGGAGAGTTGCGGGATCAAATGTGTTTCTGGAGAACAGAGAGAGGAGGAGAGAAGACGCGGAGAGAGGGCACAGGAGGGACAGAGGGTGAGTGGCAGCTCTGCATGCTGAATCAAGGGAACCACAGGTAGCTCAAGCCACATGAAAGGTATATGGGCTGTGTGGTGAGATGGGCCAATATCTTCCTTAGTCCTTTGCCTCTTCTCCTTCCTTTCTTCTTTTTTCATTTCCTTTTTCTTCCTGCTCCATACTGCTGTTTTGGAAGTTTCTAATATCGGTTTGTGTCGCCTTGCCTCGCCTTACAAGCACCTAGGCGTTACCTAGGCAATTGGAAGGGGGTGGCTCACCACAGCTCGACTTACCGCCTTAAGAACCTTGGTAAAGTGAAACTTAAGGAACAAAGAAAGCGCCTGAGGCTAAACCAAAACCATGGGCACAATGTCAAGTCAACCCAAGGAACCCATCACTTGAACCCAATACAATACAGTTCATAAAGGCTAATGGGTTGCCTGCTGCATGTAAGGAACACGATTGGGGCAGCCTACAATCCGAACTCAGGAAATTAACAACAAAATGAGAATAAAAAAATCTGTGTGCGGTGCTAATCTTATAAGGTGTTGTACAGCATCATAGTGAATTCAGGAGATGACCACAAAAACCAGGTGCAACAATCCTTTGCAAATGCTTATTGTAGAAAATATAATGGAAAGATTGTAGAACAATATGATAGCATTAAGCCTATCAGTCAAGCGACCAATTTAAAGACAAATGTGCAGGTGCAACTATATAATTCTGAAAGAAACATAGCACTTGCTTGGTCTATTTTGACTATGTATTTACACACCAATAAATAAGACAGAAAAATACCTCATAAATATCATCCTTCAGTTGTCTGCAATTGTAGTTTGATGCTCCTACACACACAACATGTGGTTGATGATCAGTCATAAACTTTAAGACTCGTTGCTGGTCATTCTTCTTCCGCTGCTGCTCAGCGACACCTTGAGACCTGTTACTGATAGAACCCGCATACAGAACATCAACCAATTCTCCTGAGGAGTCTAACATAACAAAGGTGGTTGCTGGCTTCCCAGGACCCCAGCAGCAGGCCATAACTCTCAATTCCGATTCATCATCCAAATCAATGTCAGCATCCTTCTTGTCTGCATCTTTCTTCCTCCAAGGAGCAACAGTAACCTTGTTCCACAACTGTTTCCCATATTCCATATGGAGCCAATGTTTGGCTTTTGCCATCAACATTGATCGAGCTTCCTTTTCCATTGATGGAAGAAGGAAATTGAAGAAGGCATCATCCAGTATCATCTTCCGTTGCTCATCCCACAGTTGTGCAGACTTGCTGACACAATCACTTAGATAATTCTCACGTGCTTCAGACATGAGTTTTTTCTTTGCATCTTCTGGCAATTTCACAGTAACCTTGAGGAGCTTTTCTTCCTCTGCTTTCTGAATAAGAAGCCACTGCGCATCTACAAACTTGCTAAGTGGTTTCTCTCTCAACCACTTAACACCCGATAGCTGATGATATGGATCTATGATTGTATTGCCCTCAGGTGTGGGACTTGTTGACACAACTGCTTTATTCATGAAGATGCCTCGAACATGCTTTCTCACAATTGGCTCACAACCTATCTCAACTGCTGCCTGAGAACAAAGAAACAGGGGGGCATGGAATACTGTTGTCTGCTGGAACAAACCTATCAACTAAGTTTAATGTACTACTCCCTCCATTCCAAATTATAAGGCATTTTGGCTTTTCTAGATGCAAAGCTTTTGCTATGCACTTAGATATACACTATGTCTAGATACATAGTAAAATCAATGTATCTAGAAAAGCCAAAACGTCTTATAATTTGGAACGGAGGGGGTACAAAAAAGGGTCAGGATTGTGGGGTCTATTAAATACCATGTGTCTCGCGCCCCGAAGAACATCTTGTGGTGTTTCAAACATTGCACATGTGAAATTTGCAGCAACCTCTTCAGGAGAATGTCTACCGCTCTCAAGCTCGCCTGCTTCCTGTAAGAAACATGCGCATGTGAGGTGTCAATCATGAAATCATTTTCTATACAGAACAACTTTCTATGGCATGAAAATATATGCAAAAAATGGGTAGGTTGCACATGCGGTACTGTTCTCAACTCAAGAAAAAAAAATGTGAAGTGCAAGCTTAGAGCACATACAGGTATCTTAGTTAATGTCAGATGGTGGCCTAATTGCTCAGCACTGCGCCCAAATTGGTTGGCAACCTCCCATAACCCTGCCTTGTGACAGATACTGTACAAGGATTTCCTTTTAGGACGTTTAAATTGGCCCTCTTCTTCTACTTCACCAGGAGGAAAATGTAAATTGAATTTTGCATCAACATCCTCCACCTCTTTCTCAGATTTAGCATCCTTTAGTGCTTCAATGATGGAATTATAAAGTTGGCTATTAAGTTCTTGCCTTGTGACATCATCTATCCTCCGTTTCTCATCATCAAATCTTTTCTCATAATACAACTGCAAAGCAACCTTGCGCTTCTGAAGAAGTAGCCACTTTCTGTCTAAGGTCTGAACTGCCCAGAGCAACTACATAGAACACCAGATTTGTCTTAGCATTGCAAATAGTTGGTAAGTTCAGCAAGAGGAACAAGTACTCAGTGAATAATACCAATAACAACAACAACAACAATAATAATACTAATTAATTACCTTATGCCACTTCATTTTGCGTGCATCAGATTTCTTATCTTCATTATCCTCATCATTACCCTCATCAGAATCGAGGCCTTTTAATAGGGTTGGACAACTCTCTTTTCTGTACATTGCAATGAACGGAATCTGACAGGGAACAAAAACTAAGTCAGACGAGCAAGCATAACATTGAGAAGCAAATTTGCATAATTTTGCATACTTCAAATTTGTTGACATGCAACATGGTCAGCGTTAACAATGTCCTTCTGGTCAAATTTGTTCATGCGCTCATTGCCAAAAAGGACAGAAATCCATCACCAGTTAGGTGGCTGTGTATCCATAAACTCTCTTCCTCAATCATCGTTTTATTCGTTGGAGGATACCCAGTCAACTCTTCAGACAACTGCCAAAACAGCAACAAATTAGATGTGCATCTTAAACTAAATCATAATGTAGCGTAAAAAAACAAATTAGCTAGTACATACCTGCATCCTCTCAGGGACATCATTTTCTTTTATTTGCTCATCTTTTGTTGTCATATACTTCTCTGCAAGAATAAATGGCTCAAACTCATCTTCAAGCCTCGCCCCTCTTAACTCAACAGAGTTAGCAGCCTCCCTCTCAAGCTCTTGCTTTCTTAGCGCTAGCAGCTCATCAACATCACCAAATATGTCTTGGGCCTCTTGCAGAGCAGATGACGATACACCTGCTGCTTGTCGTGGTACCTTCTTTTTAAATTTCTTCCTCCTAGAAATAAGAAATAGTACACATTATTGGGAGTGAACACAGTCAGATACAACTCCACAGAGCCAAAGACATGGAAGTGGTGTTCAAAAGATAGGAGGACAAAGATCCGCACCTTACAACTTGTCCATTCCCATCGATTTCATCTTCCTCCACAATGAAATCTGCCATTTCATCTTCATCATCACCAACTTCCTCCTCACCCTCCCCTGCCTGCTGATCGTCCTCGAAGTCCTCTTCAAACGGCACAGTATCTGAAGAAATTGAAGTTGATACAAAAAAAAGTTTCAGCTAGTTCCTGGGATAATTCAAAAAGACACAAGGGAGTTAAATTCTGGTGCTGGTACCTTGATGATCACCAAATAAACTGTACTCCACTCTCTCCTTGCCACTGCGTTTTTTCCCTGTTCCATCATCATCTGAAAAACCAGAGCGCTCATCCATTTCAGATTCCCTTCCAGCCTTTTTCAAGCGCTTAAACTTGTTTCCCTGCAAGAAGACAAAAGGAGCATTCTTCATAAACAGGCCCAAGAAAATTTGGACAGGACAGCATGACTAAAAAAAACATACAGGCTTTGGGCGACTGATGCCAGTGATGTTATTATCCTGGAGCAACATATAGTCATCCTCATCAAGCATGAAGTCCTCTGATTCCCTGGGTAATATCTCTTACATTTGAGGACAGTGTACACAATAGATTCACATGTAATTCTAGTAGGAACAAATGCAGGTACCTCTTCTTTTTTTTTTTTTCTTTCGCCTCTCATCATCACTCTTCTGTTCCTCTTCCTCTCCTTCCACTTCTTCTTCCTCATCGTCCACTATGAAGTCATCCTTCTCAAATTCATCCTGACCATCCTCTGCACATAAACATATTACAGTTGTTACTTCACAAGTGACAAACCCCAGGAGAGATCATAATTTGACACCCAAAAAAAAAGTGAAAATGGAACAATAAAACACTGCAACAGCAAAGCATAAAAAACTGAATAATTCGAATAATAAGGAAGCAAAACTGCTCCCTGATGGGGAGAAAACTAAACAGCCCACAATAAGGGCGAGCCAGAGCCAACACCATGAAGAAATTGCGAGAAAAAACAGACCGTCATCTTCATCATCGTCATCATCGTCGTGCTCGTCCATATCGTCCCTGCCCCTCCGGGAGGACCGCGGATCCTCCTCGTCGGCCTCAATCTCATCTTCTAGGGTTCCAACAAAGCCACCAATTTCCATCAGCAAATGCACACAAATCACCACGAAAACCGCAGAAATCAGCGAAAAAAACATACCTTCTTCATCGGAGAGCACCGTGCGCCCCATAGTTCTCGAGGGATTTCAACCTAACCGAACCAAGGAAGGATGAATCAGGTTAAGTTCGAGACAGGGTCGGAGCCAGTAAAGGACATGGGTGTACACATGAAAACCCAATCTTTTTTCGCAAAAAGAAAAGAAAAAAGTTTGTAGGCATAATACAGGTATCCTACACTTGTAACTGGATCATCAGATCCGGATACAGATAGCTAGGGTTGATAGCTAGGGTTTGGGTGCTCGGTTTCGCGAAGCAGGAACGGAAGAGAAGGGGTGCGCGTACCTGGTGGGTGCTCGTCACCGGCGAAAGTCCCAAAGATGAAGGCCTGGGCACCTAGCGTAGGGCGGAGGGCCGGAGGTGGAGGCGGGGGCGGAGGCGGTGGCGGCGGCGGCGGCAGCCCAGTCGTCGTCGCCAACAGAGAACGCACGCGAGAGGAACAGGAGAACAGAGAGAGTATGCCGGGGCCCGGGGACACTGGAATGGAGAACAAAAGGCGGGCCGCAAGGAGAAGGTTCCGGCCCACTAAACTACTTCTATCTCTGCCTTTCGAATCCCGGGTCCAAGCTCGAGCACCCGACAGTGCCGCATCGCCCGTTAGACCGACAGCCGTTGGATCACGCGAACACGAGATCTGGTCCGTCCGATGTGGATCGGTTTAGGTCGTCTACCCGTTTATTATCATTTACCGAAGCCATCACGAAGCTTCGTGAGCGACGCTCGTCCCCTCTCCCTCCGCCGGACTGCCGCCCCTACCCCTGCTCTCCACTCCACCCTCCGCTTGCAGGGCCACTAGGGCCCTGTTTGGGGCAGCGTTTGCTCAGCTTCTGAGCCCAATAAGCAAATAATCCCGCACAAACGCCCTGCGATATGGGCCTGATCGCGAACGTGCTTCCGCGATCTCCAGTCGCCCGCAACGCTACTGAAATCGCGAGCTCGACCTCGCTTTTCCAAAATCGCGACCGCGTTTCTCTCCCGATGCCAATCCTCCCGAGCGCTCTCTCTCTCTCGACGCTCGCTCTTCTCCGCCGCCGCCGCCTCTCTCCAGCCCGGCCACGGCCTCCCCATCTCGCATCTCGTCACCTCCTGGTCGCTGCCGCTCCTCCTCCCTCCCGGCTCCTCCACGCTAACGCTGCCGCTCATCCACGCTCACGACGATGGAGACGCTGCGGAGGACGACGACGCGAGCTCCGCCAGATCCCCGGCGAGCGGAGGCCACCACGCGAGCTCCGCCAGATCCCCGGCGGCCACATCCGACCGAGCCCCCGTCGGCCACCACGCGAGCTCCTTCCAGAACTCCGGCGGCCACATCCGGACGAGCTCCCGTCGGCCACCACTTGGCCCACATGCGGTGGTGGTGATGCGTGCTGTGTTGGCATGCGGTGGTGGCATGCGTATGCGTGCGGTGGTGGTGGTGCGTGGCCACCACGGTCGAGTACATGCGGCTAGGGAGCTGAGCGTAGGGAGCACGCGAGCTCCGACGAGGTCCACGCGAGCTCCGACGAGGTCAATCCCCGCCATGGATGACCTCACGGCGGACAAGCCGCTCAGCTCCGCAGCCACCCACTCCTCACTCATCTTCTTCCGAGCGCCCGTCGATCTCCTTCCCCGCGCTGCAATCGGCCGAGGTAGCTAGCCTACGTGAATCCCCTACCTCTCCTCTCCCTCCCCATGCTCTTGGATTTGGAAATGGTGGGCGAAATCGCTGTCTCACGAAGCTCGCCGAGCTATCCATGGCGGCCGAGCTGACGAACACGAGCACCTGCACCTCCCGTCCGTGTTCCCTCTCTGCCTCCATGTCTATTTCCTTGCTTCCTTGGGCTAGTCAAGAGAGAGAGAGTAAATGAGGCGTACCGGTGTACCCAAATTGATGTTATTTTGGACTATTACTGTACAGGGGTATACAAGATAGATAATCTACCAGAAATAATCAGGACAACCAAACGCCAGCTTATTCAGACAGCAGATTCTCTATATCGTGGCTTATCAGATAAGCCTACTCAGCTTATAAGCGAGACTCAGAAAAGCTGAAACAAACGGGGCCTAGAGTGGGCTTGAATCGCGGTCGCCGATGAGCGGGCACGATGCACTGGCACGACGGTGAGCTGGCCCCTCACGACAGGCGGAGAGGCGGGGATCTGGCGGCGGCTCCCAGCCTGTGGGTGCGGCTGACCGTGGGTCACCGGCAAGCGGCGGTGCACAAGCCACTGGCGCGGGTCCCTGCCACCGACGAGCTGGCGAGGCAGCGGGCTCCAGACACCACAGGGGCTCCCGGCGCGGCAGCGGGCTCCAAGTGCGGCGAGACCGGGCTCGCGACGACGAAGCCACGTGCGTCCGGGGCCAGCCACGCACGCGCCGTGGAACCAGCCTCATCCTGCGTCGAGGAGCCGGCCGCGCCCGCGCTGGGTAGCAGCCGCGTAGGTGCCACCTCGCCTCGGCGCTGGTGGTCGAGGCCGCCTCGCCCTGACATGGCTGGGGGCCTGGCCCACCGCACCGTCGCTAGGCCGGTGCCACTGGCACCTCGCCCCACTACGCCCCGCCATGGCTGCCTCTTGCACTGCCCCAGCGTGCTGCAAGCCTGCAACTGCCACCTCTTGCTTCATGTGATCTTATGGCTGCAATTCTTGTAGTTCGGAGTAAAAAATCTATTCCTCTCTAATGTTCTAAGGATCATACAACATGCTATATATCCATTACTAAGAACTTTGCTATTCCTTTTTCTTTGTGTGCTGTAATCTAATATTGTCAGAATGCTCCTAGCCCTTCTGCTTCTCAATTTGATTAGCAAATGCAAATAGGATTAGGAAACAAGATGAGATACGCTAGCTAATTTTCACTCGTTATATAAGTATATAGACTTTCTTGCTGCTGAATTTATCATGTTTTTTCGCAGGCTAGAAATTGTACAGTCAAATTGTTTTCAAATTACAAATTCAAAGAGTTGTACAAGTATAGACAATCAAATTGTTTTATGTACTATTAAACAAACTAATAGTTTACTGCATTTTAACATGCTATTATGTCTCCGATTACTATATTTCATCCTTCAAAAAATACCCACACTTCTACGTGTTGATTAGTTATACGTTTGTTTCTAGATAGCTTACGAGTCGTGACATATTTTTTAGTCTAAAATAGTTCCATATCTCTTTAGGTGCGAGCTACTATTGAAGTCAAGGCATCAAACATCATTCACTTACCTCTCATGGACGACCTACAAGATAAGAAATATATATGTACATGCCTGTTTTTCTGTTATTGAACTCAATACTGTTTAGTTCCAATGATGTTGGAATCAAAGCTTACCATAGTTGTTGTCGTAGCTATGTATGCATACCTATTTGGTAAGCCTACAATGGCTCCAATTTATATAATGACTATAAATTTTCATTGAGCTATGACATTTGGGAATATGCAGTGATGATTACCATCCATCTGTTTTTTTTTCTGAACTAAGGTATATGGGAATATGCAACGATGATTATCACTCTTTTATGATCTTTCTATTGTACTTTTTTTTGAATTGAGGCATTTGGCACATGCAGTGATGAGAACCATTAGATGTATATGGTCCCTTCTTCTATTCTGAATGAACTGAGGCCATTTGGCATATGCAATAATAACCATTGCAGTCCTGATGTTACTTTTATATGTAAGTTTCATTTAAAATAGCTATTAATTATGTTGGATATTAACAACATCATAATGGTTAATGTTGTAAACAACATACTCATAGACATGTCCATTCAATTTTTTTTGTAGCTATTTCAGCTCAGAATTATAAACTATTGCTGTCTCAATTCAGTTTGAAGGAAGGAGTGAAGTGCTTATTCAGAAATAGACATGATCCATACCATCAGCTAGGTGAAAATCGAAATGTTCTTTGATTTTGATGCTACTTCATTAGGGTAGCTTAGCTTCAGTGCTTCAAAAAATTCATCTCTCATAGTGGTCGGTGTTCCTGTAGCCAATTTTATTTTTGCAAGATCGAAAAATGCATATTTCAGCAAAGCATCCAATTCGAAATAGAAAATATCAATTTAGGTTGTGCCATGACCTGAGCGGATCACTTATTAATGATTATCGATTCTATTTCACTACATAATCTGAAAAGGGACAAAACCAAATGAATAAGTACTCCCTCCATTCCAAATTATAAGTCATTCAAATTTTCTTGGAGAGCTAAAGCAGTCTCAAGTTTGATAAAAAAATTATATAGAAAATTAAACATCAAGCAATTTGGCTCCCGAACGATCAAGCAGGAACCGTTGGTCTCTTTGCTGCACGATCGGCAATCCACCCTTTCAGTCGGCATTTGGCTCTCAAACGGTGACCTATCAATCGGAGATAAGGCCACTACCAATAAGTCATATGTTATATTTTCCATCTCGATACATGGCCACCGCCAATACTACTCGCAGGTTCTCTACTGAAACAGCCCTAGCTGGCACGGCAACGCCACGCCCATGGTTTTCTAGTATCTATCTACTCTCTGTCTGTGCTAGAGATGGTTCTCTCTACTCTTTCTTTCCCTCAGGCTACAGTAGTAGAGGATAACCCAAGGGTGATTCGGTTTTCAGCGTTGATTTCGGGTAGGTTTGGATCTCTAGAGCAACTCTAGCAGGCCCCTACTTGAGCCCCCATAGCTAAATATGGGGGCTCAGGCAAAAAATCCAACTCCAGCATGGTCCCTACTACGGACTCCAAATTTATGTGGGCACCCAAATCCTCCCACTAGACCCCATTCCCGTTGGCCCAACACCCTAGCTCTCATCCGACTGATTCCTTCCCGCATCGTACGGAACGTGAGCGCGGTCGTTTGCTGGCGAGCGTGGCCGCCCACCTGCCCCCCCCCCCACCGGTGAGTGCCCCCTGCCCTGTCTGTGTGTGGAGAGAGCACCTCCCCTCCCCGGTGCTCGGCCCCTTCTCTGGCATGGCGCACTGCTCCGCCGCAGGTACGGCCATCCGTCCCCGCTCGCCCTGCTCGCTTTCTCATCTCCATCGGGACAAAGCA